GGATGTGCGTATAATTATTGCTGACAGTTTTTTAATTATAAAATTACGGCGTTGGTGGTCAAGTTTTAGTTCGTCACACATATCGATGAATGAGTCACAGGAGTTACCAAAGATACCGAGACAGCTGATGGAAAGATTAACAAAGTTTACTTTTTTGAACTTAGGGCGTAGTTCCTTTAGAAGGGAACGGTACTTCTCAGCTTTACGCGAAGCGTTATTATTCAGGTTAGTCTCGAACCCAACAGTTAATTCGATGACATACAGACACTTGGAAGCAGTTTTTTTAAGCATGTCAGGACGGAACGAATCGCCAGTTATGATACATGGTGATAAATAAGCGGGAATGTCAGCATATATGAATACATCTCGGATACATTGAAATGATGATGCAATGAAGTGCAGGGCAGAGTCGTGCCTCCAAGTAAAACGCCCTTGCTCAAGGTTTTTGTTACATCCAGCTACGACATGAAGAAGTGATTCAGGCTGAAGGCAGAATGAGCAATCTGGAGAAGAGCTAATTTTCCATAAGCAGAGGTTGTTCCTTGTGTTCCTAGTTAGTTGTTGAGATACCTTATCGTAAAGTTGAAGATGTTTTTTGGAAGTTTACTTTGAGCTGCAGACCAGAGTGAGGCTAACTTTGTATAGGAATGCTCAAGCAGGAATGAAATGATGAAGCCTTGAGATGTTAACTGAGTTTTGAGCTTTTCAGTGTGTTCATCCCTTACACATTTCAGTACCGCCTTAGTGTTCTTGTATGCGTCGAACTGTATATTAGGTCCATAATTGGTGTTCATCCATAGGGATTTGATGTTTTCGTTGGGCGAAGATTTGAGTGAGTTTCGAAGAACAATCTGGCACTGTTGAAACTTTACGGAAGGAAGCAGAAGCTCAAGACCAAAGTGTTTACGAGAAAGAACTATGCCACTCAATGTCGAAGATATTGGAAGCTCGAGCCACTGTCGAACGAATTTTGTGACAAGCTGATCTAAGTTTTCGCAAACCCACGTTTTGGAGAGATTAGCAACTGTGAGATCCCAAGAGAGCTTTGAAAGGATGTATTGATTAAACAGTAGAATTTTGTTCCGCGGGTGAATTTTCAAGGAATCGATAACTTTGAGCATCTCACGGAGAGAAGAGGTCAAGTGATCCTTGTGTTCCTGGCTCTTCATATCATAATTGAAGAAACGACCCAGGTATTTGAAAGATTCGCCATGTTTCACAAAAGGGACAGGATCGTTGTTAATGAAGAGTTTAGGCTGAAACTGTGCAGATCTAGTTGCAAACTTTTTAATTCCAAAGGTGATGCACTTGTCTACGCGGATGATCATATTTGCCCATTTGCACCATCTTGTAAAACAGTTTAGCCATAATTGATTTTCGCGTTCATCACTTGTGCAACTGCAGCATCATCAGCGAATTGAAACCAGTGAACCGGGTTAAACAAGCGATCATTGCCGTCATGAGGAGAAAATCCAAGTTGTTTATATTTGTCTTGTTTTACCAGCTGAATGAAGGTGTTGAAACATAAATTGAAAATGAGAGGGCTGAGGCAGTCCCCTTGCAGTACTCCTCTTTTGACTGGAATGGCCGGAGACCTGAAATTATCGGTTATAATTGAAGTGTGGAAATCAGTATAAAGATTAGACACGAGATCTTGAAAGTGAGCAGGGATGTGATGATAGTCCATAGTTTTAATGATTAAGTTATGATGGACCTCTCCAAATGCGTTCTTTAAATCCAAAAGAGTGACAACCACAGAGCGTTGCTTTATGCGTGCTTTATTGATAATATGGGCCATCAGTGAAGTATGTTCCAGCACTCCAGAAATGTTAGGAGTGAACTCTTTCTGGATCTCGTGTTCAATGAAATTATTTTGTTTGAGAAAGGAAAACAGAGCATCACGCAGGCAAGAGGTAAATATTTTTAGAGGTACAGACTCGAGGGTAATAGGTCGAAAGTTTGCCGGATCATCAATGCTGCCTTTTTTATAGACTAAAACTGTACAAGCTTTTTCCATTCGCTAGGAACGTGGCCCGTGGTCCACACAACACGTATTATTTCAGACAGAAATGACCGGAGGTAAGGGCATTTCTTGAAACAAATAATAGAAATCTTGTCCAAAGGGCATGGAGATCCTGCTGACTTCATTTTGCGAATAACTTTTGTCACTTTTTCATAAGACGGGGGTTCTGTATCAAATGGAACTGAAGGTTGAGAAAGAGAAGGAATACATGGAGGTATGATAAATTGCCGGTCTGGGAAGACTGCTGAAAACATTTTAACGGAAACGGTTAACGGTTAACAGAGAATGATGGTTAACAGAGAATGATGGCAGAACGGCAGATTGTTTTTCGATAACATTTTTTACGAAACTCCAGAGGTTCTTCGAGATGAGCTTATCGTAATCTTGGGATGTTGTTGCAGAGCTTCTGTGATTGGTTGGCGCCAATATTTGAATTTTCAAAATCCAAAGGTTGATCCTCTAGGCCTTCAATTACTCTGCATCATCTTTGGTGCATTTTCAGTCCTTTAGCACCCGAACATTCTTTCCCACAGACACATTTAACTATACCCGACGTCTGGAGGGCATTTTTGTCAGACTCTGATGTGATATTAATCGTGTTGTTTGGTCCAGCACTCTCGGGCATTCTTTTTCTGCAGCGCCATATGTGGCGGCCTAGCACCTGAAAATCCTTTCCGCAGTACGAACAAACCACTGAAATTATTAGAAGCCATAGTAAGCGAGGTCGCAGCATAACGATTCTGGCTCGGTTGAATACAATATACTAATTCGTATCTTTAAATAAGCGTTGTAGACATCCAGGCTGTTTGAAAAATCGAAGAAACGAGATCGTGTACAATGTGCGTGTGAACGCCACTGCTCAACGAATAATCAATAATAATAATAATATTAATAGTAATAATGAATCATGACCAGTATCTCCACAGGGTGGCTCTGGTTGTTAAATACTACACGATGTAAAAGTTGCTATATGAAAAGTAAAGATTAAAATAGTTTGAATTCCATAAAATGTAAATTGGAATTAAAAGTTAGGTTCTTCTCTTTATGAATCAAACTAAAAGCCTCTTTTTTGCTTCAGTAAGAAAATATTCTTTAGATTTTGATGAGAATTCGGTTTTCGTTTTTGAATTTCTTATCGCATTTGGCATCTTGTTCAAAATTTCAGCTGCACTGTTCCTCAAAATTTTAGAATTTGTTGTAGTTGCAACTTGTGGTACAGAGTTTGATCTCAGATGTTTACTGTTTTCTTTTAATGTTATTATTGCATACGAAAGCATGCCTCCTAATCTTGACAAAGTTTGAGATTTTAGTGCAACGTCCGTAAAATTTCCATTGTCTTTATCGCATTTTGATTTATAATTTTTTCTTATGTCATCGATTTCCGCATTGCACGGCGTTCTATTGCATCTCGCTATTAGGCTGGTTGTTTCGTGCGTTTTTTGGTGTAAGGATTGACAGACGGATAAGAAAAGGCAGTCTTTTAATAGGGTTGGAAGTAAAATCGATGCCTCCACTATTTTTACGGATATAAGTGGTGATGGATCAATTTTACTTCATCGGTTTGTTTACAATTAGGCCTATCCATACCATTTTAGGTTCTTCAATATTGTCGCTTTCTGTAAAATTTATAAATTTTTCCTTAAATCTTATTCCTTTGGTACTTGCTAGATTCCTTCTAGTTTCATGACCGATGACTTGCAAGGTGATCACTTGATACACCTCGTCAAAAATATCTGCTTCAAATATTTGACTGTTTGTTTGCGAAGGTCCACCAAGAAAAGATTAAAAAACAAGTCATAAATAAGAACAAACCAAATATTCACCATCAGATCAATAAACTCATTTTGTTTAAAAATGATTAGGGACTGCAAAAAAGACTGTAGATCCTCCAAAAACAATGATCGGTACCATCATTATTAATGGCAAGAATTACGCATTACTTTCCCATTTTCCTTGAAATTCAATTATTCACGTTCGTAGGTGTTTCATATTTTACAGTTTAATCACTTATAACTTAATTTTCGCCTGAACTCTTTGCTTAATTTTGCACGTTTCATAAAATTATTTGTACAGCACCTCTCCGTTCTTGCCGTACAAATGATATTTTTCCCGGCTTCACTTCCTGTGGTCAAAGCTGCCTCTAGTTGACTGACGCGATTGCGATGGTCTGGCCCAGGTAAAATTGTGAATAGATGCAGAACTTTTAGCTTATGAAGTAGCAACTATCTCTTGAGGTGAATAATAGAAAATAGCTAGGCCCATTTGTCATCGTTTTATTGTCATTTCTTTATTTGATATCTAGGTATTCGCTGTACACTTTGGAAAACTTCCTGAACCTAGACTTCTGATTGTGCATGTGGCGAATAAATTTATTCATATGGCGAACCTAGCCTTCTGTATAAAGCATGATAATTTTGAAAGCTTCTGTTCTATTACAGGCAAAAATTCCTAAAATCCTCAAAATATACTTTGTCTCTACACCTGGAGTTTGGCAGCTTTGATAGAAATCTATTCGTAATGATGGCAAAAACGGGAGCTCATTTGATGATGCTAATACTTTTTCAAGATGTGTTACTAAGCTGTTTTGTTCTGTTATTGTTGATATCCTGGTGATAATCAAGTACTTCTTCTGTTTGTCTTTGTTTATTTCTGTGTACCGCCATCATACAACTTAACTCTGGCATTTCTCCTTTCCTCAAGCGCATGCATTTCATAACGTATCGTTACTCCTAGTTATTATTATTATTAATTACAAATGTTTTTTAGAAATGATTTTTTCAGAAATGTTGATTTTAGTCATTACAAATACGAATTTCCAGAGATTGCATCGAAAAAGGACAGCTATTCATAGTGGTTAATTGTTTAACGCTTGTGTGTCCGCATTTTCCGCCCTGTCTCAACCGGATCACTGTGAGCAACCGGATCACCTAGTGCAACCGGATGCTTCCAAGATATCCCCAGACACAAAGCCGTGAAGGAAGTTTTTGGTCTGTGACGCGGGCTGTGTCATGTGCATTGTTTGTGCATTGTTTACTGCTGAGCGAAAACTGAAACGCCCTGATAAACAGGTTTCACTTGTTTGTTCTATGGCCTGACTTTGTTGGACGTTGACTTGCATTAAACGTTGCTGAAAATTCGGTAAGGATTTTACATCCTTCTGCTTTTTAAAGCTGTTTTATCTAGAAAGCTTAGGAATCAACAGTTTATTCCTTTTTTAATTTTTTAAATGCTCCAGATTGGTTGTAAAGCTTTTAGGAGTAAACGATTGAAGATTGAAGAAGAATAAACGCCTGAAATTGGGGCTCCTTTAGCTTCGTATTTTAGATGCGCCCCTTCAGATAATTTTCAAGTTAATGACTCGATGATCTTAAAATAAACTGAATCGACCTTCCAAAAGAGAAACAAAGGGCAAAACTGTCTCACATATTTCGGTCCCAAAATTTGAAAAAATCTAGCATCAAGACTAAAATCTGTAAAGACATCAACAGTTCAAACATAAGATCAAATATATTCTTTAAAGATCTCCAAAGATAATGTTCCCTGCATATATTATTGAAAACCCAAAATCAGCCGGCGAAAAGGTTCTGGTTATCATTCAAGTTCAAGTTCAAGTTTTTCATTTTAAAAATTCCAACATACAAATTCCAGCTAACAACAAGTACAAAACTACATTAACAACAACAAATAATATCAAAGTATACAAAAAGAACTAAACTAATTTAGAGGGAGTTTGTAGGTATGGAATTTCTTAAGGAGGAGCTCTCTCAATAAATAAACTAATCGAGGAGAGAGCACCCCCTGTACTAAAAGTCTATTATTTTATGGTACTAATGTTTTTAGTTCATTTGATGATTGTAGAAATCTTCAGAGACATTTTAAATTAAACTTGGTATTTTGTGGAGAATATATAAGATTTGAGTTTACTACGAAAAATGAAAACTGAAGGAGATCATTTTTCAGAAGAAATTTCTTTTTTATGACACCTTTGGAGGAACCATTATGGAAACAACTTTGTATTAACCCTTTTAATGCTATCTCTGGTGTTTTTTACCTGGGGTGTTTTTAGACTACATTTTTAGCGTTTACCTGTAAATTTTACATACCTGTCAGTAATTTTACATGTCTGTCAGAGTGAAGTCACTCCAAAGATCTGTGACAGGCTCTTAGCCTTTAGCACAGTTATAGTTATACACTGCCAGAACAGAAGTATTGCAACACCCTAATCAAATTGGCATCCAAAAAAATTGAAATTTTGCAAAAGTTCTTATAGCTTTACACTGAAACATTCCCCTCAAAAATAAACAAAATCGTTCTAAACCAGGAATCAAATTATTTGAAATTTATTGAGAAGTTTGGAATACTTAAAATTATAATATGAATGTAAGAAATTTTATATTTATAAGGAAAACTATCTGTCGTGGTAAAATCAAAAATTATGAAAATAAGGAGTGAGTAGTTGTGACAAAACTTTGTGTTACTGTCTTTCGATTCTAAAGATTTCAAAACATTTTATAGAAAATGATATCAAAATAGTGAGAGATTAGGATACAGCAAAGGAAGTCCTTAGTTTTGACTTTTTTAGCCTCGAAATTCTCCAACACAACTTGGATAATTTTTTGGGTAGAGTTGGGCCCATATAAATTGGTAAATCCTCAGCTAGCAATGAGCAAGTTAAGGCAGTGAAATATTCTAAAATAATGCAAAACAGTCTCTTTGGTGAAATCAAATTAATGCTGGGAAAATGAAGAAGGTATTTTTCATAAAAAGCAATACATCCCCCTTACAACGACATTTTTATTCAAATTTACCTGAAAATCTGCAAACTCTATGTCATTCCTAGGCCATCACAAAGACCTAACCTTAAAGTAAGTGACAATTTCTTGTTGCTAATGAAATTGATCTGATTTGAAATCCACAAGGTTCTCTAAGGTCCAACCAAGTACTGACTTAGAGAGTTTATGGAGAATGAAGGAGAATCCCAGTGCATTTCATCAACCAACTTTGTGCATCAATTCCAAAGCAATTTTCCGCACTTATCAGAGCCAGAAGCACCTCCACGAAATGTTTGTTTAATCAAAAGTTACTTGAATTGTTGATTTAAAATTTTCAAAAATAAAAATAGAATATTTGAATTTATGCGTTACTGAATTTGCAGTTTTATTTGCGCACCATTGGCTGATTAAACAATAGCTTAATCAGACAACAACAAAAGTTATTGCGTGATCCGCCATTAATAGCCTTCGCATGTGTTGCAATACTATTGTCCTGTTATAGTTAATAATAATTAGATCACTTTCCTTTTCTTAATTATTTTCGATTGTAATTTATTTGATGGCAAAATTAAACATACATGCACACACCTCATCTAACCTTAAATGGTATTCTAACCAGGAGCAGTGCATACCAAAGCTCTCTTGAACCAATGAAGAGGGAACCTGCGTAATAAAAGTGTTAAAATATCAATGTTGCTAATAAAGAAGCAAGGATCAAAGTTGTACTCACACAGATGCCTTAGATTCACTGTTTAAAACTGTGCATTCATGTTTAACATTTATTGTAACAAATACTCTGATCCTTTGATAACCTGTCTACATCCTTCCTGCACATCTATTTAAATACAAATAGACTTCTCACTCCCTTTAGAATCATATACAAAGAAGATCATTACTCTGTTAAGGCTCAATAATCTGGAACAACTTACTTCTTGAATAAAAGAAAAAACAACTTTTATCAATAAGATTGACAAGTATTTAATATATATGTGATATGTTTGTACATGAACATGATATGTTTCTTATTTATACATTTCATAATACTAATCATGTTTCTGTTCAATGTGGCTAAAGTTTTTTTCTGTGTTTTTCTTGACATCTTCCATCTGTTTTAAGCTATTGTGTCATTTATGTTGACTGTAGAAACTTTTTTATATTTGACTTTGAATTAGTTTTGTATACTATTATCTTATGTCCCTTTCATATATAAGATATTTTCATTATAGAGATTTTCAGCCATAAAATAATTTTCATATTTCTAAAGGATCTTTTATTTTCTTTCTTTTAGTACCAGCAACAATATTGGTCATTCTACACTGATATCAATTAAATTATGGCTGAAAAGTATTTGCATTTAGATAATATGACTCCTGCTGCCTGCATAAGCCCAGTGGAGCTAGCTGTGCAAAATCAGGAATTTCTTATTTATAACCCATCAGGATCTACATATTTATCAGTTTCTCTGAGCTCACCCAAATTGAAAGAGCAGGAAAGTTGTTTTGTGGAAACAAGTGATGATATCAGAGGCCTTCAAAAGTGTTTCAAACTTAAGGATTGTGGTGATGGATCCTATAACATTTTAACAATAAATGAAAATGGGGATGAAAATGGTTTTTTATACCTTTCAGAAAGTGTCCAGTCAGGTATTTTCCACCACAGTAATAATGTCCTCAAAAGCACTGAAATTGTTGATGGAAAAGAAAACCTTTACACATTTGAGATAAGTGAAAGTCAGTCTCAAATGGGACTTTTCAGTATAAAATGCTGTGGAAAGATGTTGTATGCAGAAAAAGGTGCACGTAAATATTTGCTTGCAGAAAAGCCTGATGCTGACATTCCCAAGGAGGCTTGGTTTCAGTTCAACTTGAAAACTGTAAGGATTATTGTTGAGCCTTTTCCTTTCAACTTTTCATGTTAACCTTTTTGCATGTTTGCATATTAATCAAATTGAGTCACCCTAAAGGCCACCCTTCACTACAATAAACTATATATTATAATCTTTAGATATATTTATTCAACAGCAGAGAACTTGCATAAATTTATGAATATATAAATAAACATCGATAGTACAAAGTGTAATAAGAATGATCAAGACTATCTTGCTAATACTATCTTGAAATAATTTAAACATTTGTCTTCATCAGTTTAACTATATGTATTTATATAAACTCAAGAAAACACTTAGCTAAGACATTTTGCTTTCCATTTATATACTGTGGTTTCAAATGGCTTCAAATGATATGTATAAACAACAAAACACTAGTAGCGAAACAAAATTCGATGCAGAAAAAATTTTAAAAAAACACATGATGGAAAATGTGGATAGTTGCGATTTTTAGGTATTATACATGTAAAACTTCATATCCTCTGCAGCGTATTGTCCATAGAGAGTCAGATGGTGATGGGCAGCAATTTTTCTCATCTAAAGAGGAAAAGTCAGATGTTGTTACTTACAAAAACAATGATCCACAGATTTCAAATGTCAGACTCAGTCTAAGGGATAAAAAATTTTTCATTGCGAAAGGAAGTGAAGAAGGTAAGTATAATTTGAATAAAAAGACATCATATTTAAAAAGAAAAGCTGCTTTTAAATCACCTTCATCTACCATTTCAAACACCCCAGAGTTGTTGTCTAGTGATGTATGTGTTTTCTTGAGGTTAATTTTCATGGCTCTAACCATGAAAATATTGTCCTTGGAGGTCCACCATATTCCTGTTGTTTAAAGCTATTAAACTCAAATAAACAAGGACATAAAGCAGACCAGGATCCATGTGCACAGAAATCTGCCTCATGTTATATATTTTTTTCTCATAGATATAAATTTTTTTGCAGATGCTAATCATGGTGACAATTGTTTCCCCAGCAATCCAATTGCTGTGGAACCATCTGACAAAGTTTCCATACAGTTATCTTTATTATTCACCACCTACATGAAACTGAACAAGATGAAGATTACAACTGAAGATGGCAGAATTTTTTCAGCACTCACAGAGCAAACTTGTTTCCATAAAAGCCTTGAATTGAAATTATTAAACTAGCAATTCTTTAAGAACTTTTTTTGCTTTCATGTAATTGTATCTGCTTGTGAGCCATTTTTATGCACACCCTATCAATGTAATAATGCATTTTGGTTAACATCAAAATCAATTAAAAAATTATATATCTTAGAAAGTGTTCTTCTTTTCTCGCTGTGGGATACCTTCAAATGGAGATTTGTTCAATTTTAAAGCAATGTTTACCAAGGGATTTCCCATAACAATCCAGGCGTGCAACTATGGGGGGGGGGGTCCTGGGGGTCCAGATCCCTGCCCTTTTTCTCACCAGAGAAAAGTGCCCTTTTCTGGGAAAACTGCTAAGACCTCCGTTTAGAAATGATTTGATTTAACTTTTTTGTTATCAAGCTAAGAGGGGTGGCCATAAATGCATTCAGTATATGTATTTCAACATAATAGCTCCTCTTGATAAACGGTCGACAAAACAGTCATTCAATTTAAACTTCAAGTTATTTCATTTCCGTTATAAAATGCAAGTTGATTACAATTGCTTTTTCCGTTTCTTATCAAATTATTTTGCGACCAAGTAGTACGTGACGGAATAAAGAGGTTCTGTTTTGGCCTATGCTTGATTTTTATCATACAAAACTACGTTCGGGCTGTTGCTGCCGCCTCATTTAATCAACGTTAGATTTTTTATTCTTAAAGTAAATTTATCAAAAGTCATGCCTAGAAAAGGAAGACTTTTGGAAGCAGAAAAAGACGGCACTCAAGCCAGCTGCGGAAGATAAGTGACAAAGCAAATTTTTCTTCAAAACACCCCGCAAAGATTCAGAAGCATCGATATATGCAACATCAGTTTCTGTGGCAGAGTCTTTTGGCGAAAGAAGTGGTGTAGACCAAGAAGCAAAAAGGAAAGAAATAAATGAAAATGAAAAGACCAGCGAGGACGATGACAAAAGCACCAGCAGCAGACAGCCAATCGACTGAAGTCGGGGAGCGTGCTGTTGAAGGGGGAAGGGGGGTTGTACTTGGTAAAAGACCATTGGCTGACCTAACAGATCAAGACAAGGGATTGTGCAAACTGTGCGTCCTTTTTGACAAACCTCATAAGAAAGCCCAAAGAGGGGCATTTGTTGCTTCGGCGTTCCAAAAGAACAGAGATCAGAACTGATCGAGGCTGAAAAAACTTCAGAGCAGTACTATCAGCGAAACAAGCACGTGCTCGGAGCAATAGTTGATACAGTCCTGCTTTGTGCCAATCAAGGGCTCTAACTAGACAGGGAATTTTGTAGAAAAAACTAGCAAACTGCCTAACCTCAAATTCTATTTCACATTCGTACTAAATCAACCATGGAGATTTCAAATCCAAGATGGGCCAAAAAAAATTATCACCGGAAGTTACTGTTTTTGATGACGTCATCAAAAAAATGATAAAAAATCTTTAAAAATCGGCCAAGGACTCGAACTCAACTTTTTTTATATTTTTGCACTAAATTAACTATGCAGCTTTCAAATCTGAGATGAAATGGAAAATATTGTGAATGGAAGTCAAATTTTGTGATGACGTCATCAACTTGGAGACAATTCACTTTGAACCTTTTTAATTGTTTTCTCGCAACTATCATTGTCAAATATGTTCCGTATTCGAATTGCACACATTCAGTGCTTTTAAAGATGTATTGAATTTCTATTATACTTACTTTTAAACGTTCTTTCATGACGCCATCATCATTTTATGACGTCATCGCCTTTTAAAGGTAATTGAATAACGCGTGAAAGGATGCCTAAAAATCTTTAGCTAGTTAAAAAAGTCATTCAAAATTAAAATTTCGTTGTATAGAAAGTGATATGGATCCATTCATCCTTCATCACTGTCTCCTTTGCTGGAACTCCAGAAGAAAATGTAGTTCCACTCATCATCGTCTGCTTTAAGCTGATCACCTCACCATAATTTTTCCCATGGCCTAGTCCTCATTGGTTACGGAATTTTCTTCGATTTCATCACTAGAGCGATGCAGATCTTGCAGTTTTTTAGCGGAGGGTGTGCGGGGCCCTGCACAAGATGAACATAATTTGTGTGAAAAAAATTTTGGAATTATTTTGCTGACTCCAGTATTTTCTGCAGATATTCACAGCTTTTTTAACGTTGAAGATCGGATATTTTTGTCATCAAGCCGTTAAGAAGCGTTTTTCTCTGTATATCATCTTCGTGCCATTTCTTATTTATTTATCAAATGTATGCTCAAAATTAGAATATGTAAAGAAATTGTTTTCCTATAAACCACACTAATACCACCTGTAGGCCAGATCATTCTTTCCATCGTATGTCTAACCAAAGCTTGAAGGCAATTTCTCTTACAATCTTCTTTTGATAATGTAACCAATAGTAAATGCTTGTGTCAACCAGTATGGATCTGGTTGTAGAGCTTCTGATTATCTGTTTTTCATTGCCTTGCGAATTCTTACTCTTATCTGCACAAGTGTTTCATCACATTTCCCTTTGTATGATTATTCTTGCACAAATTTGATCGCTTTCGCGAGAACGTCTTTGCAGATTTCCTGTCTCATCGTAACTCCCTCGAGAAATTTTTCCTTCCCAGAACACCCCTAAAGCTTTTCAAAATGTTAGCTTTCCTTACAACAAACATTACCGGTTTTGTTTGGCAGCCAATAACTGCACAAAGAGCCGATAGATTTTTGGAACTATCTAAACCCAGGTAAGATACGACTTTCCAAAATTAACCTACTTCTTGTTGTCAATCTTTAAGGAATATTTCCTTGAAGGCTTTTCACACAATAAGCAGAAAACTACATTAGTGTCCTTTCGACAACTAATAAATTTTATCGATGAGGAAAGAATGGAATATCAAGTGGATGTCAGCCTCTTCATAGCCGCAATTAAGCAAGTATGTCGTGGAATCTTTGATTATCTTTAAGGTTTGTTATTTATTGGTAAACATGAGTGCTTTCAAAATTAACTGCTTTCCTTCTTAGCCCGGATAGAGTCTTGAACTAGCTTTAGAAAGTAAGTTTGATACAACAAGAACCAAACCAGATCATACAAAATGTTCTTGACAAGTTATCAAGTAGGAACCGAGTTTTGCAATGGGTTATCACAAAGATAAAGTGTTATACCCGCACTAAACCTATCTTATATTCCATTTCAAGGTTTTTGTTGCTGTTAGTGATGCTTGAAAGTCTTCTGCATTACAGAGATCAAGATAATCCAAAGGCTTTACCAGGGCTAAGAAGGAAAGCAGTTAATTTTGAAAGCACTCGTGCTTACCAATAAAGAACAAACCTTAAAGATAATCAAAGATTCCACGACATACTTGCTTAATTGCAGCTATGAAGAGGCTGACATCCACTTGATATGCCATTCTTTCCTCATCGATAAAATTTATTAGTTGTCGAAAGGACACTAATGTAGTTTTCTGCTTATTGTGTGAAAAGCCTTCAAGGAAATATTCCTTAAAGATTGACAACGAGAAGTAGGTTAATTTTTGAACGTCGTATCTTACCTGGGTTTAGATAGTTCCAAAAATCTACCGGCTGTTCAAGCAGTTATTGGCTGCGAAACAACACCGGTAATGTTGTTGTAAGGGAAGCTAACATTTTAAAAAGCTTTAGGAGTGTTCTGGAAAGGAAAAATTGCTCGAGAGAGTTACGATGAGACAGGAAATCTGCAAAGACATTCTCACGAAAGCGATAAAATTTGTGCAAAAATAATCATACAAAGGGAAATGTGATGAAACACTGGCGCAGATAAGAGTAAGAATTCGCAAGGCAATGAAAAACAGATAATCAGAAGCTCTACAGGTGGTATTAGTGTGGTTTATAGGAAAAAAATTTCTTTACATATTCTAATTTTGAACATACATTTGATAAATAAATAAGAAATGGCACGAAGATGATATACAGAGAAAAACGTTTCTTAACGGCTTGATGACAAAAATATCCGATCTTCAACGTTAAAAAAGCTGTGAATATCTGCAGAAAATACTGGAGTCAGCAAAATAATTCCAAAATTTTTTTCACAAATTATGTTCATCTTGTGCAGGGCCCCGCACACCCTCCGCTAAAAAACTGCAAGATCTGCAGCGCTCTAGTGATGAAATCGAAGAAAATTCCGTAACCAATGAGGACTAGGCCATGGGAAAAATTATGGTGAGGTGATCAGCTTAAAGCAGACGATGATGAGTGGAACTACATTTTCTTCTGGAGTTCCAGCAAAGGAGACAGTGATGAAGGATGAGAATGGATCCATATCACTTTCTATACAACGAAATTTTAATTTTGAATGACTTTTTTAACTAGCTAAAGATTTTTAGGCATCCTTTCACGCGTTATTCAATTACCTTTAAAAGGCGATGACGTCATAAAATGATGATGGCGTCATAAAAGAACGTTTAAAAGTAAGTATAATAGAAATTCAATACATCTTTAAAAGCACTGAATGTGTGCAATTCGAATACGGAACATATTTGACAATGATAGTTGCGAGAAAACAATTAAAAAGGTTCAAAGTGAATTTTCTCCAAGTTGATGACGTCATCACAAAATTTGACTTCCGTTCAAGATATTTTTCATTTCATCTCAGATTTGAAATCTGGATAGTTAATTTAGTGCAAAAATATAAAAAAAGTTGAGTTCGAGTCCTTGGCCGATTTTTAAAGATTTTTTATCATTTTTTTGATGACGTCATCAAAAACAGTAACTTCAGGTGATAATTTTTTTTGGCCCATCTTGGATTTGGAATCTCCATGGTCGATTTAGTAAGAATGTGAAATAAAATTTGAGGTTAGGCAGTTTGCTAGTTTTTTCTACAAAATTCCCTGTCTAAACTGAGAGGGCACGGGTATACGAAAGTGAATGACATTGGCGAAAGTACAGGAAACAGAGGAAACGTTTTTGCGATAATGGAGCTGATTGCAAAATATGACCCTATTGTAAAAGAACATTTGAAAAACGGTCAACGAAATGCAAAGATGTTATCTAGAATAACCAGAATGACATCATTGCCAATGCAGCTTTCGTTATAAAGATCCGGATAAAGGATATGATACAAAGCGAAAAATTTTATGCGGTAATTGAAGATGAGGTCACAGAAAGATTTGCCAATAAATTTCTACTCGTTTGTCTCCGTTTTCTCGACTCAATTCATGGTGAGCCGAA